TGTCATGAAGTTAATTTGGTTTATTTGTTTTGTGTCATGATATGTTGTCTTAAACGCATTACATTTGTTGGTTTTGTGTGATGGGAGGGAGTGTCTGTACGTTTTGCCCGCTGAAGTGCAGATATTTGTAATGAAGATTTGCATTTGACTTAAATTTAGATGTTTTATTTTGGTAATATTAGTCACTCTAGCTGTGCTGTTTTGTTGCGGTCGCACATCGGACGAGAAGCACAGTGGTGCGCCGGTGCAACACGTATCACACACTGAATGCGTCGCGTCAGCAAACGGGATGAGAAATTGCGATCTATAGCACAATGAAGCACAGAATTTATTAGAGCCACAGAAAGACAAACGTTTTGCAAAAAAATTTACAATACACAATCTTCCAACCTAGGATGAAGTCATTATGTACATTAACAATAATTTGGAACAAATATAATGTAGTTTAATGGAGAATGATGTGAGTGGCGCTGAGGCGCTCTGTGGCGCGGCAGGATTATGAACAGCGCCCGGAGTCGGGATCCGTGGACAGTCGCCGGTGGCGCCGCCGGTGTGCATACATACAGTCATGGAAAACAATGTGTGGGAATTTTAAAGACGTGGTGCGGCACGGTGCAGGCTGCACATGTCGTCCGGTGTGCGACCGCCTTAAGGCTGGATAGCCTCTTGTTTCAGAGGTGAAATTGCCAAAGATGACTTTTAGAAGAGGACACCGTAAGCTAGGCTGGTAGTTTTTCCACCCGACGAGGGTAGGGGGAGAGGGCCTAGGCTCAAGAGTCACTGTTCGCTACTGCTCTGCACACAGTCTCGCAGGATCAGGGCTGAAACGACTCTGTGCTCACACTTCATCGTCATAACAACCCAACAATATCAGTGGCATCTGACAACCGTATAGAGAGGGTGTGCGGATGCCGCAGATCAAAGCAATGGCCACGAGTTGAGATAACTGTGCCCACGAATACCACGATCCAAGTATTCGCCATGCCTCGGCAACAGCGGGACCTGAACCGCGAGACGCAAACGCTTGTCACTCATCTCTCGAGAAGAGGGACAAACGCGAATGGAGCTTCTCATTGGATAACACTCACAATGAGCGCGTTCAGAGCCCTCGAGCACTGAACGCGCAAGCTCCTGACCAAAAACAGATGACAGATAGATTGTGCGCGTCCTCAAGTGCCAGAAACCTCTGGAACAGAGGCAGACACTTTCCACACCGCTCACCTGCCTTGGTGTCTCACACGCACTTCAAACAGACGACTCCTGAAGAAAGCAAAGAGGATGACGTATTCAGCAGGTGCCCTTTTATACTTCCGGGCATCCCGCCTATGACGTCATGGTGGGCTAATGGATTGGCGTTGTTTCACACGTGCTTCAGACACCGGTCATGCAGGCTGCATTCCCCAATGTGCCCCCTAGGGGGAGCAGCATTGAGTTCCCTAGAAGGGGAATCACTTGTGCCACATAATGACACCAGGCTAACACATCTCACTTTATTATTATTTTTTTTTACTTAATCATGGGGATGATAGACAATCAGGTAAGAATTAAGTGTAGAGTTTTATTGATTGATTGATTTATTGCTTTTTGACTTTTATATTCTTCTTTATATTCTTTATGAGACTAGTCTTTATAAAACAAGTGTTGCAATCAATAAATATCTCAGAAAAAAAAAATATTTATATATATATATATATATATATATATATATATATAAATATTTTTTTTTTCTGAGATATGCCACATAATGACACCAGGCTAACACATCTCACTTTATTATTATTTTTTTTTACTTAATCATGGGGATGATAGACAATCAGGTAAGAATTAAGTGTAGAGTTTTATTGATTGATTGATTTATTGCTTTTTGACTTTTATATTCTTCTTTATATTCTTTATGAGACTAGTCTTTATAAAACAAGTGTTGCAATCAATAAATATCTCAGAAAAAAAAAAAATTTATTATGTTTTGTATATATATATATATATAATGTGTTGGTCTAATGAGTGTTGTGTGACTGTTGAATACCATTGAATGGCAGTTTAGTACATCAATTATCTTGTGGGGTGGCCAATTAAATTCCAATTTACACTCAAAAAGGAGTCTTTTTCTAAAATTCTGAATTATGCCCAACCCTGGTGACAAGGTGACCCTTGTTCAAAGTGTTTATGATTTCATAATTCATAGTTTAATGAAAATGATCAAATCACACAATTCAAACTTGTTTGAATGGAGTGTCACTAATTTTACTTTGAAGTATATCCTTAAGCTTTTCGTTTTCCTTATCGTGAGTGTCGTCCTTGTATATTTGTCTATTGGTTCCCTTTTTAACTGTAGAATTTGGTCAACTGCAGCACAGATCAAGACTCACTAAAAATAACAGTACACCCTAGCTGACTGGTTTTAGCACAGGCCTTGTTGAATGCTACCTGTTTTCTCTTTCAGATGCCCCTACCAGGCTACGCAGAGGCCTTTCCTCACCCTCATTATCCTCAGGGCAGCCCTCTCCTGTGGCACCACCGCCAGGCCGCTCAGGGTGGTCCGGACAATCCACCCTCCTCCTCCACTGCAGTGTCCCAGCAGAGTCTAGCAGAGCCCAGAGATCCGATCAGCCCCAACACCCCCCTCAGTAGCCTTTACACTTCAGCCCTAGTCAAAGCCATCCGTGATGAGGTGGCCAAACTGGCCAAGAAGCAAGCAGACATGTTTGAGTTCCAGGTGTAGAACATTCTGGTGAATTCATGGACCAGCTGCACTGAGACTGAACAGTCTGATACATTTACGACTTCTGATTTCACCGGATTAAATAATTTTTCACTGGATACTTTTTTTTCCTTTCAGTGAAACACCTGTCTGCTTTTAATACAGTTTTTGTGTGGTTCTTTTTGCCATTGTACTATAACATTAATATGTAATTAAACATTTTCTTTATTGTAGTATAACATTAATATGTATTTAAAGTTTTTATTTAATGGGACAATATGGAAATCTACAATTTTCTCATTTTAGCTGTATTTTATGAAAACTGGCATGGTAATCAAAAGGATAGTCCACCTAAAAATGTAAATTCTGTCATGAATTACACCCCCTCATGTTGTTCAAAACCCAGAATAAAGCATAAATGAAGATATTTTTAATATTTTATTTCGTCCATCAATTGATCGTCCAATCAACCAAAATTGTCACGCTTCAAAAAGTTCATAAATACATGGTAAAAGAAACCCATATAATTTGAGTGGTATAATCCAAATTTTCTGAAGAGATGCTAAAGAGATCGTTTTATATTATGAACAGATTTAATTTACACTTTTGTTAACATATGAACATTTATCAATGCACATTCATATAGCACACATGCACAAGCACATTTAAGCTTCTTCAAAAATGAGTACGTACTGAATAAGTACTGTATGTCTGACAAAAATGATGAGAGAATATTATCTTAATTTGTGTTCCAAAGACAAGCAAAGTTCTTGGGTTTGGAACAATGTGAAGGTATACAAATAAAACAGATCTTTTTTTGGACTATCCCTTTAAAGTAGAAACTAGGGCTGGGCGATATAGCTAAAAAAGTGTATTAACAATATAATGTTTCATATCGTTCTGTATCGATAATTATTGACATTTTTTATAACCTTTTTCAAAACAAAGAGCAATAGAAAAAAATGTTTAAATTTAACCACTGTATTTTTTAAACTAACCCAATTTATTGAGACAAACAACAAATATTTTTTTTTTGTTTTAACAGTCAAACACAAAATAAAAATTAAACAAATATCTAATTTCTAATGTCTTATATGCAGATTAAATAGGTTAAACTTTTGGCTGGCCACCCCTATGAAACTCTCATTCTTTTTTGTCCCACAGGAAATCCCATGACAGCAGTGTACGCCATCCCAGCCAGTCGTCCAGGATACACGGGATATTTCATCTCTACGCCACCCTCCTCCTACCACAGCCCATCCTGGATGTCTTACCCCCCTGAACCCGAGGATGTGCCTCCTCAGTGGACCGAATCTGTAAGAATGCAGTTATCACACAGTCCTTTATCATGTGTCCAATTCTGCTTCACAAACTGGGTTGCATCCCAAGACCCCAACGTTACAGTGCATGCACCATTAATACAATTTAATGTGGCGTAAACCTCATGGACTGCAACCAAGGGAAGCAGAACTGGTCTGTCACATGTGCCTCTATACATTGTTCTGAATTTAGGGGGCATTCTGTCAGATCATGTGACCTGCCCTTGGGCGCAAGACTCATCTTTTTGGATTGTCCTTCTTATCCCTGTTTGTGTGTGCCTGCATTCACACGGTGTCTTTTTGCAGAACCAGTGTCATTTAGAAACCATTTGCTGAACTGAATTTATCGCTGACGTTGAGTGGAAACAACAAATTTCCAGGGTAGATGAGCACATTTCTTCAAGTGAACACTTTTCTTTTTTCTTTTTTTCCTCCTTTTTTTCTTGCAAATACCTTTACAATTCCAGGTTGTGAATTAAGGAAAGCAAACAAGATTAAAAATTTAAGTAGATTAAAAAATTGAAATTCAATAAAATGTTCATTCTGATATTGCTTTTCTGCTACAATTTACAAAACATTATTAAGAATAAAATTGTACAAAACCTTTCAAAACCATTTATTTTAGCCTTTGTCTTTATGTGACTAGTAAGTATTTAAAAAAGTGTCAGTTGCATTTCATTTATATTTCTAAGAATTTTTCTAAGAATTTTCTTACAAATTTCTTAGAAATTATGTTAAGAACTGTCCTCTTTTTTCTCTAAGATTTTCAATCAATGTAATTATATCTAATGAATTTCTTTTTTATTTATTTAATGTCTATATTTATTTTTATAAATGAATCTGAAGACAATTTGATGGGCATTTTGCATTGCCACATGCCAAAATTAAAACTGGTTTTGATGGCAGAGTCAAATAATTTGATATTTCTTTAAACTAAATGCAAAAGTAAGTCTAATGATTTATTATGAAAATGCATTCTACATATCTGGGAATAAATAGGCTTAATTAGTCAACATTAATAATTTAATTAATTATGTTTTGTTGCCATAAGTTGGACTAATGTGTTGGTCTAATGAGTGTTGTGTGACTGTTGAATACCATTGAATGGCAGTTTAGTACATCAATTATCTTGTGGGGTGGCCAATTAAATTCCAATTTACACTCAAAAAGGAGTCTTTTTCTAAAATTCTGAATTATGCCCAACCCTGGTGACAAGGTGACCCTTGTTCAAAGTGTTTATGATTTCATAATTCATAGTTTAATGAAAATGATCAAATCACACAATTCAAACTTGTTTGAATGGAGTGTCACTAATTTTACTTTGAAGTATATCCTTAAGCTTTTCGTTTTCCTTATCGTGAGTGTCGTCCTTGTATATTTGTCTATTGGTTCCCTTTTTAACTGTAGAATTTGGTCAACTGCAGCACAGATCAAGACTCACTAAAAATAACAGTACACCCTAGCTGACTGGTTTTAGCACAGGCCTTGTTGAATGCTACCTGTTTTCTCTTTCAGATGCCCCTACCAGGCTACGCAGAGGCCTTTCCTCACCCTCATTATCCTCAGGGCAGCCCTCTCCTGTGGCACCACCGCCAGGCCGCTCAGGGTGGTCCGGACAATCCACCCTCCTCCTCCACTGCAGTGTCCCAGCAGAGTCTAGCAGAGCCCAGAGATCCGATCAGCCCCAACACCCCCCTCAGTAGCCTTTACACTTCAGCCCTAGTCAAAGCCATCCGTGATGAGGTGGCCAAACTGGCCAAGAAGCAAGCAGACATGTTTGAGTTCCAGGTGTAGAACATTCTGGTGAATTCATGGACCAGCTGCACTGAGACTGAACAGTCTGATACATTTACGACTTCTGATTTCACCGGATTAAATAATTTTTCACTGGATACTTTTTTTTCCTTTCAGTGAAACACCTGTCTGCTTTTAATACAGTTTTTGTGTGGTTCTTTTTGCCATTGTACTATAACATTAATATGTAATTAAACATTTTCTTTATTGTAGTATAACATTAATATGTATTTAAAGTTTTTATTTAATGGGACAATATGGAAATCTACAATTTTCTCATTTTAGCTGTATTTTATGAAAACTGGCATGGTAATCAAAAGGATAGTCCACCTAAAAATGTAAATTCTGTCATGAATTACACCCCCTCATGTTGTTCAAAACCCAGAATAAAGCATAAATGAAGATATTTTTAATATTTTATTTCGTCCATCAATTGATCGTCCAATCAACCAAAATTGTCACGCTTCAAAAAGTTCATAAATACATGGTAAAAGAAACCCATATAATTTGAGTGGTATAATCCAAATTTTCTGAAGAGATGCTAAAGAGATCGTTTTATATTATGAACAGATTTAATTTACACTTTTGTTAACATATGAACATTTATCAATGCACATTCATATAGCACACATGCACAAGCACATTTAAGCTTCTTCAAAAATGAGTACGTACTGAATAAGTACTGTATGTCTGACAAAAATGATGAGAGAATATTATCTTAATTTGTGTTCCAAAGACAAGCAAAGTTCTTGGGTTTGGAACAATGTGAAGGTATACAAATAAAACAGATCTTTTTTTGGACTATCCCTTTAAAGTAGAAACTAGGGCTGGGCGATATAGCTAAAAAAGTGTATTAACAATATAATGTTTCATATCGTTCTGTATCGATAATTATTGACATTTTTTATAACCTTTTTCAAAACAAAGAGCAATAGAAAAAAATGTTTAAATTTAACCACTGTATTTTTTAAACTAACCCAATTTATTGAGACAAACAACAAATATTTTTTTTTTGTTTTAACAGTCAAACACAAAATAAAAATTAATGGACGCGAACATCCTGTATGTAATATAAATGTGGGGGGGGGAAATGTGTAATTTTCTTTACAGAAAATGAGCCAAGACCAATGAGTATGAGTTTAAAATAAATAATTAATCGTATCATTTTTCTTTTGATAAAAAGTGAAAACGGGTCCCACAGACCCGAACACCATACAAGGGTTAAACAAATATCTAATTTCTAATGTTTTATATGCAGAATAAATAGGTCTTAAGGAAACTTTTGGCTTGTTTCCCGAGCCCACAGGAGGGCGCAATGAGCAAAATAATGTTGCGCATTAAATTGTCAACACAAGGAAATAACTGTCTATAAAAAAACGTGCATTATACGTCTAAATAAACTCATATAAATCAAATATAATTTTGTAACTTGCATAAACAATTATGAACAAAACAGCATCATGTATTTATGCATTGCTTAGCCTAATACAAAGAATCACCCATCACACAGATTGCCTTTAAAAACATATGAGACGCAGTGAAAAGTAATAAACCTCCACAAATTTGTGACGTGTTTTTTAAAAGTTTAAACTGTTTTAACTTTGCATGGCTACATCTCTTGTGTGAGACGCGAGTGCAGCAGTCATATTTGTCTGTCTAAAAATGCGCTGTATATGCGTTCTGTGTGAATAGCTTGGTTTTGGTTTTAACCTAATCAAGATCTTCTCCACGTTGAGCTACTATATTTCTCTAATATTTTGAATGAATAACGCAGCAGCGGCGCGTCTCGTGGGCTAGACTAACAAAACATTAAAATACAACAACGTCACTTATCATCATCATCACCGCATCTCGCGCACCACTGATGA